GCCAGCCGCTCCACCAGCCCGCGCTGCTCGATGGTGCGCCTGTTGCCGCAGCGGCCTCGGTGGCGAGAAGCGTCTCCTGGCCCGCCTCGCTCGAGGCCGCCGCTAGGCTGGATGCGCTGCTGCCTGCGCCTGCCAGCTCGACCGCCTTCTGCAGCCAGCTCTCTGCTTCCGTCTTCTGCCCGATTGCGGCGTTGAGGTCGCCGATCTTGGTGGCCAGTCGGACCAGCTTGGCCGACTGGGCGTCGCCGCCGCTCTGGACCTGCGACGGGGCAGCAGCCGATAGCATGAGAAGGTCAAAGACCCTCTCGTAACCCTCGATGGCGTTGGCCGTCGCTCCGCGAGAGCCGTGCCTCTCCCTGATCGAGGCCATCTTGCTCTCGAGCGCCAACGCCGTCGGGTCGATGTGCAGAGGCGCAGACGAGGATGCCAGGCCCGCCCGCACCGCGTCAATGTCGGGCAGGACGATGCCCTTTTCGCGAGCGGCCTGGAGGGCGACGCTGAGGTAGCGCATCGCCATGACCATGCCGTCCTCGATGTGAAGGTCGCGCTGGCCGGCGATGCTGGACTGGGCGGTGCGACCGAGGCCCGAGGAGCCCGATGCGGCGCCGCCGAGGATGAGGCCGGGCGAGATGCCGCCGCCCCAGTGCACGCACATCCATGCGCTTCGGACAGCATGACGTCCCTTGATGCCGAGGCGGCGGTCGGTGCCGCTGCTGCCGGAGCCCGACCAGCTCTCTTCGCCCAGCTGCTCGTTCCAGCCCCACGGGTCGTCGACGGACGACGAGGCGGGTGCGTGGGGCATGGCAAAGTGCTCGATGTACTGGTGGGTCGCCTCGTATCCTCCGAGACCGACGACGGCGATGCCGAGGGCCGAGACGGTAATCATGCGTGCGATGCGCGAGATGGTGTAGACAAACTGAGCAAAGGGCGTGGCAAACGACTGCAGGACCTGCTGCTGGTTGGGCCCGCCCTCGCTCGAGTAGGGGCGGCAAGATCCTGGGGCGAGGTTGCGCCCGGCGCCAGTGCCAGAGCGTTCGAAGAGGAGCTTGCGCGCGGCCGCCTGCCTCGATGGGAGAGGGGGCGAAGACGACGACAGCGACAGCGACAGCGACGCTGGCCTGGGTGGCGGCGAGGCAGAGTGAAGGCGTCGGGTGGCGGCGGTGCTCCTGGCGGGCACGGCTGCTCCAAATCGGCGCAGTGTGGCAGCCGAGGCCAGAGGCCTGCGTAGCTGTGATGATGCGGAGGCCGTGGGGAGCATGGCTGATGGTGACCGGTGAGACCTCTGGGGGAGGGAGGATGGTGGTCGGGCACAAGGCAAAGGCAAACAGACGAGCGTCGAGGCACCTGACGCATAGAGCGCCTCTCAAACCAAAGAAAGTGGAGAAGCGCCCCGCTGCCACAAAGACGCGGGACTCAGCGTGTGCCCCTCTCGCTCGACCCTCTCTCTGCCCACACACCACCTGGCGCAAGGAAACTGTCCATCGCGCAAGTCATGGCTCTAGATGGCACAATGGTATTACAGGTTCCCGCATCAGACAACAGCAGCGAATAGACAACCCCGTCGAGCGAAAGGGAAGCCGCTTCCGCCGACGGCCAGGCAGGCGTGCATTCGGACAGACACGGGCGGCCATGCCTCAGGCGTCCTTTGCCAGCGCCTTCTTCTCGTCGCGCAGCACCTGCTTGGCCAGCCCCTCGCGCCTCTTTTCGCGCGCCTCGAGCCCGATGCCCGCAAAGACGACGGCGACGCCCACCCACTGCAGCGCGCTCAGCTGGTGGTTGTACACCACCACCGACAGCAGCATCGTGAACAGCTTGCGCGTCACCGTGATCGACACGAGCGTCAGGCTTCCGAACCGCTGCAGCGTCTCAAAGATGGCCACCTGCCCCACGGCCCCCGCCAGCGCGTACGACAGCATGTCCCGCACCACGTCCGGGTGGCGCGAGATGAACGCCAGCGCCTCGCTCAGCTGCGAGCCCGAGCTCGAGCCCGAGCCCAAGCCCGAGCCGTGGCCGCCAGCGCCGAAGCCGATGAGGTGGAGTGGCAGCACCAGCGCACCGCCCATGAGCACCGCCGAGAGCGCGTTCATGACGAGCATCATCTGGCCCGCCGAGACCGTCTGCCTGCCGTAGCGCGCAAACACCTCGTCCTGGGTGCTGTTGGTGGCCCCGTCGAGGATCAGGTTGAGCAGGCAGAGCGCCAGGCCCAGCAGGCTGCTCGACTCGGGCCCCTTTGCCTTTTTGCCGCCCGCCTTGGCCGGCGCAAACGCCATAAACAGGTAGATGCCGGCCGTGACGAGCGAGACGACGACGTACTTGTACGGCGCAAACTTGCGGCGGTAGAGGACCACGTTCATGATCAGGACGGGGACCAGCTTGCACGACTTGGCCAGCGTCAGCGTCGGGTAGCTGATGTAGCGCAGCGACAGGAAGCCCAGCTGCGATGCCGTCGACTGGAGCGCCGAGATGGCCAGGTAGCGCAGCAGCAGCGGCGAGATCCACCCGGGCTTGACGACGGCAACGTCGCCGTTGGGCTTGGCATGCCCGTTGCTGCCATTCGCCGTGGCGTTGCCGTTGCCGCTGGCACCGATCTTGCTGAGCTGCTGCGCCTCGAGCGCCCTTGCCGCGCCGGACGGCGTGAGCGCCTGCAGGCCAAGGACCTGTACGAGGCCTTGGCCGGTGCCGCGGCTGCGGACGAGGAGATAGATGCACGCCGTCAGGGCAGAGAGGGATGCCTGTATCGCATTGAGGAACAGCGGCGAGCGAAAGAACTCTGGCTGCGGGTTCGGGTGGAGGAGCGTCGCCGCGGCAATGTATGGCGTCTTGGTGACTGCAGGCAGGGGCGGTAGGGCGAGGACGAGATCGATACGGGCAGGAGGGCAAAACGAGAGAAGGTGAGATGGTGTTTCAGCCCGACAGGTGGCCAGACGGCGCCGCGCGCCTGCTCCCTACTCACGCCTCTCTTGCAGCAGCCCCCAGAGGAGAAAGGTCGAGTAGATGGAGGCGGCGCAGAAGCCGAGCTGGAGCAGCGTCATCGAGATCACGGACCAGTCCGCAGAAGTCGGCGGGCGAGAATTGGGTCGGAGCGGAGTGGAACGGGGCGGAACGGCGGCAGTTGGAGCAAGAGGTCGTCCAGACGACGAGCAGAGGGGGGGAAGGTGGTGGTCGTGAGCAGCGAACAGGCAGGCCAGCGGGGCGGGGAGGGGAGTAGCAGACTAGTGTTGCTCTCGCTCCCTGCCTCGCCCGCCCGCTTCTTCCAGCGTGGCAGCCTCGCTGGCGTGTGCTTTGCTGTCACCTGTGCGGTCTCAAATGATGTCCCCACCATCTTTGTATTATATATTATTCTTTTGGTGCCCTGAACATCGCCTCCGAATTAGTTTAGTGGCTATGACGGCACCTTGTCATGCGCCCTCTTCGCCGAGGATGTGACCGGTGCAGACCCGGGTTCGATTCCCGGATTTGGAGTTTCCTTTTCCTTTTGCCTCCGCTATGTTCCCACCGTTTTGCCAGGCCTGTGCGCAGCCTTTTGTCAGATGGCTTGGGCCTGGCTGGCCAGCCCTCGATCTAGAATCCTTGATTGGTGAGGAGGGGGAGCTCGCCATACGTACCACTGAACAACGGACACAGACAGGTAGCTTGGTCGTCCTCAGGCTGGTAAGTAGAGCAGCAGATTGCATTACCACTGCGCCGGAACTTTTCGACTTCTAACAACCGCCTCGTTACAACCGGCGGCTGGCCAGGGGATGGAGGGTATGTGTCTGGCGATGCAGAGGGAGGCCTGCCTTGGGCACGCGCACGCGCTTAGGCCGACTTGCCCTTGACGTAGGTGTTGACGACCTGCGCGAAGCTCTCGCCCTGGGTCTTGGCGATGGCGAGCTCGTTGGCCGAGACCTGGCGGGAGCCGTCGCCGGCGGCGATGCTGCCGGCGCCGTAGGCCGAGGCGCCGTGGACCTCGTCGAGGCCGCTCTGAAGGGCAAAGGCGCGGTAGCCGAGGGGGACGTACTGTCGAGGGGTGGAAAGCGGACGGCAAGAGCGAGGATGCGGTATGCAGTAGTCAGCCAGAGCGTCCAGAGGTGCGACAGGCAGCGCGACTCGGATCGACAAGGTCCGGCTCGATCGGACTCACGTTGATGCCGTGGTGGACAAAGAAGGGGAGGGTGGTGAGGTGGGTGGTCTCGTTGCCGCCGTGCTGCGAGGCAGTGCAAGTGAAGGTGGCGCCGAACTTGCCAATCAGCTCGCCCTTGGCCCAGAGGCTGCCGGTAGCGTCAAAGAAGGCCGAGACCTGCGAGGGGGCGCGGCCGTAGCGGGTGGGGAAGCCGAACATCTGCGTGGATGGTGACAGGGCGGAGACGAGAAACAGGAGCAGGTACAAGATTCGCGGAACGAACGCCGTCAGCAAGACCAGGCAGGATGAGGGGGCGCTACGGGTCGCGGGGCCGACTCACGATGCCGTCGTACTCGACGAGCTTGGCTGGGGTGATGACGGGGTAGTGGCTGATGATCTGCTTCTGGCCGTGCATCTTGGTGAGGATCTCGTCGGTGAGCGTCTCGGAGAACTGGTAGACGTCGACCTGGGCGCCGGTGCTCTTGAGGCCCTCGACGACCGACTCGGTCAGCTTGGCGACGTGGCCGTAGAGCGACCAGACGACGACGGCGATCTTGGCAACCATGGTGGAGGAGGGGCTTGTGGTGAGGCGAAGAAGGGGCGAGACAGGTTGGATGTGAGGTTGGTAGGTTGCGTGTGCGCGAGGATGTTCGATGCGTGGGTGGATGGAGAGGAGAGAGGGGTGGAGGAGGAGGTGGAAGGAGGGGGCTGGTCTTATACCGGCTCGGTGCCCCTCTCTACCCAAGCGAGATCCTCTGCGGCTCGCGCAGCGGCACGGCTAGCCAACGAGCGAGGCAGAGAGCAAGCAAGCAAGCAAGCCAGCTGCGGATGGACAGCTTCGACCTGGGCGGATGGAACGGCCTCGCTGCAGTTTGCGAGCAAGGCCAGGCCAGGCCAGCAAGCCAGGGTTGGGCAGGCGACACAACGAAGGAACGCACTCGCCAAGTGCGTGCATCGATCCAGCTCGAAGATCTCGCCCGTCCCGGCCCTGCCTTCCTGCACCTGGCTGCACGTCTGCGAACAGGTGCCGAAGCTTGCCTGCCGCACTGACCACGCAGCAACCGGACCTACCGCCGCCACGGACTTTACGCACGGCAAACCCCGAGCTCACGGGCTTACCGACTCGATTATCGCCGAGACCGAGCGGCGGTCGATCCCGATTCGTCCAAGAGAAAATATCGGGGAGAAACTCGGGTTGCCGTGATGTCCGGTCGAAGCCCGATGGCTGCCGGAGGTAACCTGCTGCTTGCTGCTTACGGCCGTAAGTTAGGGGCGAGCGAGTGCGGGGAGGAGGCCCTGCTCCCGTCGCGCAGCCACGTCCGGACCCACACGGTGACACACGATCATCTCGACGCCCATGTTCCAATGCATCATTCGCCATCGCGGCCTGCGCGCGCGCGCTCTCCCTCTCTCTCTCTCTCTCTCCTCTAGAAGCGTATGAGGTAGCTACCGTTGCTCCGGCTGAGGTACCGGACCCACTTGACGCTCTGGTAGTTGCTCTTCTCAAACACCTTGAGGAAGCGCACGAGCAGGCCCGACGCCGTAAACATGAGCACCTGGAACTGCACCTCGATCGGCGGCTTGGTCCACGCCTTGCGGTGCGTCGTCGAGCTCAGCTCGGCCTCGGCCGTAAACGTCGTCTCGGACATGCCCTGCATCCTCGGGATCCTGTCGGGCGAAGAGCAGCGCAGCGAGGGGGAACGATCGACACGGCACATCAGCGACCGTGACCTCGTCGATGACCAAGGCGAGAAAGGGTACAAGCGGTACGCCACGGGCACTCACTTCCACACCACGACGTTTTCCGCCGGCACGTATTTCGCCTTGCCCAGCGACACCTGGCACTTGACGTTGGTCGTGTTGAGCGGCGTCGGGATGCGCAGCACCACATTGTTGGCGCTCAGCTTGGCGTCAAAGTTGGCGCGCAGGTTGATCGTGTACTCGACCCGGCTCTTGGAGACCTCCTTGACGATCGGGTGCACCTTGAAGGGAAGGTTGACATTCGTCGTCGAGCGATACCTGCGGATCAGGGGAGGGTGCGGAGGAGTGGCCGGGATGTGAGCCGTGCAAATCAACTGGGACAACCGCCGCAAGCTCTGATCAGGGCCGACTCACCTCATCAGCTCAAACTCGCCGTCTGGGGGGATGAAGCTGATGCTGCGGTCCGTGTCGTACTTGCCCAGCTTGACGCATTGGTGGAACTGGCAGTCATCGAGCTCGACCGCGTCCACCTTGCCACGATTCCGATCGCTGCAGCCGCACATGGGCGGTAAGAGGATAGCAGGGCAAGTCAGGAGGGGTCACACTTGCGACATAGCGGCGTGCTGCAGCCACCTACCTCTTCTCCAGCACCAGCTTGTCGTTGAGCCCGAACTTGCACTCTGGCATGCCGCTCAGGTAGGCCCTCATTAGGATCTGGCCGTCGACGTCGGCCCGCAGCACCGTTCCTGTCGAGAGGCAACGACCATGATGCAAGACAGAGTGAACGTCAGAGTCGCCCTCGCTGACCCCGCCCGCCCTGCTGCCGGCCATGCTCACCCTTGCTGCTCATCAGCAGATTGACCGTCTCGATGACGTCGACAAATGCCTCGTTCTTGCGGTACTTGACGTCGGCCCTCCTCCAGCTGGTGGCTCCCGTCGCCTGGATGGTGATCTTGGACGAGTCCTCGCGCACCGCCTGCTCCGACTTGACGCCCTCGGTGGTGATGTACATCTTTAGCGTGTCGATCTCGCTGTTTTGCGGGTAGCCAAAGTCGAGGATCTCTGCAAGTGGGAAGCGTCAAGTCGCAGCGGAGAGCCAGACAGTCAGGTCAGCCGCCATCCCTACGCCTACGATCGGATGACCCACTTCCTGCACCAGTCACCGGCAACGCCACGCACCGTCGAGGAGCTCGTAGATGAGGACAAAGTTGTTCTTGACGGCCTCCTCGTCAAACTTGCCGCCAAAGTAGGACCTGCCGATGCCGATGACGCGGTAGCAGAACTCGAATACGAGTGCGGCGTTGGCGTTGCACTTGGTGACGGCGACGAGGTAGAGATTCTCGTGGCGGACGTGGAAGAAGCTGGTGCTGCCGAGCGTGATGATGGGCGAGCGCACGTCTGGGTTCGAGACGACCTGGATGCGGAAGATGTCGGCGATGCTGCGCTTCAGGTCGCTGCGGAAGAGGCGGGAGATGAGCACCTCGCCCTTTTGATTGAAGATGAAGAAGGCCGAGATCATGGTGGGCGCAAGTTGGGCGGGGGAGGTTCTGCGTCGTAGAGAGGGAGGGGGCCAGTGGCAGCACGGAAGGTGCGGGAGCAGGGGCGAGGCGACTCTAGCTTGCGAAAGGCCCGTTCGAGGTGGAGGGTCGCTGCTGGGACTGAGAAACGATGCTGCCACTGGTGATTGAGCTTGCTGCGGGGGCGGAGAGGGCCAGGGTAAGGGCGGGGACGACAAAGGGGCGTAGGACGCGGGCAGACGGGCTCAAGAGGGGGTATATGGCGTCGTCCCTTTGTCGATGGTGGTGTCGGCGGTAGAAGCAGCGGGCAAGTGACAAGGGGGAATCGAGGCGGCGTGGCGTGGCGGGGATGGTGGACAAAGGGAACGAAGCCAAAAGGTCGAGGAGGCCAGAACCAGGTCCAGGAGCGGGTGCAGGTGCAGCTACCACCTCGGGTCTCGGTCGGCCCGTGCGTTCCGGACAGCCAGAGGGGCGGCTCCGAGGACGAGTCGCGGCCAAGTCGGGCAGCGCAAAAATTCAGCTTCTCGTCAGGCAGCCAAGGACGAGCGGGGCCACGCTCTTCTTCTCACCACCAGCCCTCTGCCCCTGCTTTCCCTACGCCCTGTTTCGAGGTGAGCATCCCATACTCACACCTTTGCGTTGATCACCGCCGATCCGACCATATGAGAGAGCGACGGCAGGAGCGGATGAGGAAAACGTTCAACTTCTATCAATCAATCTGTCAATCCTCTGACGCCGCGCCGGCGGGGACGCGGGTTCGGGGTGATGATTCGTCTCCCCCGACCGCTGCCTCTGTCGGTCCGCGGGACTGTTGATCATGAACTTTCATCGACTGACGCTTCGACGCCGTCGCTCTCCATGCATCGAGATCTCGCACATCCTGGGAGGGCGCACCGGCGATCGATCGATGGCAACTGAAGCCACGAACGGGAGACTGACCACCTTCCTGCTCCTGCTTCCCCCCTTGTTGCGACAGATCTCCCGTCCTTCCACTCCTTCCCCTCCTCGGTGTCCCGACAGACTGTCGAAGCTGTAGCGAGGGCATGCTTGGATCCGATACTGTTGCCGATGCCGAGGCGCTGTACCAGTGCGGATCAGGGTGTGTGCTCGCGTGCGTCGGGAGCGTCCGCTCGACGAAGTTGGCGAGTCGGTGCAGGTGGGTGCGTGGCAATTTCAGCAGAAGCCCGGCTGGGCAGGGGCAGGGTCGAATCGGAATCGAATGGGGGAATGCTACAGAGAGATGGTGTGGGAAGCGTGCAGAAATCATTATGATGCCGATGGGTCGAGAGAGATGCCGAGATGTTGCCCCATGTTGCGGGCGAAGGTGCGGCAGCGCCGCTGCGGCGAGCCAAAGAAAGCGGGGTCGATGTCGATGTCCCGCAAGTCGATGCTCTGCGAGTGTGTGCTCTTTCCTTAGCCGCCGCCACCGCCGCCAGTGAAGCGGAACCTTTCCAGTCGGTTGGCTCGGATGCCAGCCGCGCCCGCCACCGCTGTCTCCGCCATGCCTGCGTCGTTCTCAGCGTCGTCGTCGCCGATGAACGTCAATCGCGCCTTGGTCGAGCACGAAACGGCCCGGCTCGGCGTGGGCCTGGCCTTCTTGGCCTCGCTCGACGCCGCCGTCGGTCCGACAGAGTCCGAGACCGTCCGCAGCATCTTTGCCTTCGTGCCCGGGGTGCTCAGGCCTCCCGCTGCGCTGGCTGGAGAGGCTGCGGTGTGGCCGGGCCCGGCGCCGTTGCCGTTGCCGTATCGGAAGGCCTCAAGCTTGACCAGCGGCGCAGACGCCTTCCCCGCAGCCGCGACGATTGGCGTCGGCGTACGATTTGAGATCGGCTGCAGCGCCGCGCCGGTCGATGGTCGGATCGGCGTCTGGTCCGACACGCTGCGAATGCCCTTGCGTCCGGGCGGAGGCGAGATCTTCTTGCTCGCGGCAGCGACACCCAGTGCAGGTGGTGAGGTGCCGCTGCCGACGCCGCCCTGCCAGCCGAACTGGGCCATCAAGCTTCGTCCCACCGCCTTCGCCACGTCTTCGGCCTTGCTCTGCTGTTGCTGCTGCTGCTGCTGCGGCTGCTGCTGCAGAGGCTGCAGGAGGTCGTCTGGCTCGATTGGGTCCGACGATGCCTGGACCTCGACCGATGCGGAAGTCAGGTCGCTGTCCATCCACTGCAGCTCCGCCGTCTTGCCGATGCGAGCCTTGATCGGCGAGATGGGCGACGATGGCATCGTGTCGTCCTCCTCGTCATCGCCCGGACGGCCCTCGTCGGCGGACTCGCCAAAGGCGTCGGAGCTCATTCGGCGGTGCCGCCGCTGCGGCCGCACCGACGACGCGGGGCTGGAGATGAAGCCGCTACTGTGGTCCGAGTCGTTTGCGGCGTCGTCTTCCGCCCTAGTGACGAGCCGTTGTCGCTTCCGTTTGGTCGGCGTCGCCTGAGCGATGATGCTGACACCGGCCAGGCTGCTTTGCTGCGTCTCGCCTTCGGCGAGCAGAGACTCGACAATGTCCTGCGTTTGTCCACCTTCGTCCCATGGCGTGGCAAAGGGGGACGGCTCCGGAAACGAGTCCGGCTCACGCAGCACTTGCTGCAATCGGCTGCTACTCTGCCGCCCTGAGCCCGAGCCATCTCGCTGTTGCTGCTGCAGCGGCGACGACTTGATGAACTCGTCCATGTCTTCGCAGCCTTCCCAGATCTTCGATGGCGTCGCCTGCGAGAGGCTCGGAACGCCGCGTTTGGGCGTTCTGCCGTCCAGCTCCAGGTAAGTCGAGGCCGCCGCCTCCGCCGTTGCTGCTGCGGTGGCAGCGGCGCCTGCAATGCCCGCGGCTCTTGAGTCTCCGAGTGGGCCGGGCGCCACCGCCGTTGGACTTTCTTCGATCGCCTTCTTGAAGAATTTGCTCTTGACGGGCCGAGGCGTCTCGTCGTCAGCATTGCCCAGCTTTGAGTTCTCGTCCACCTCAACCGCGTCGGCTGCCTTTCGCTTTCCCTTGTCGACTGCGAAGGGGCTCGAGGATGGAAGAGGCGACGATGGCTGTGCGACAACGTTCGTGTCCCTCTCAGACAGCGGCGATGGCTTGCCTGCCACGACGTCGTCCCTGCTTGAGCCGGACAGGACGGTGGACTCGACGGCCCTTGCAGTCGCCCCGAGCTTGGCCTTGGGGGTGGACGGCTTGAACCCGAAGAAGTTCTTGATCGTCTGCAGGCCGGCCTCGGTCGACACGGGCTTTTTGGTGGGACCGTTCGACGATCGGTAGAAGGGCGAGAGGGACGGTCCGGAGCCGCCTCCTGCCGCGGTCGTCGTCGTCGATCGCGCAAGAGCGGCCGGACGCGACGGCCCGCTGGCCGAGCCGGTCCAGCTCGTGCTCCTCGGGTTGGCCACGAAGCCAGCCCTCGCCAGGCTCCCGGCCCCTGCTCCCGCCGCCGCCGCCGCCGCCGCCGCCGATGTCGACGGCCTCTGCTGCGATGGCACGAGGTCAACCATGGGCAGGCGCGTGACGGGGTCGACGTCGCCCTCGGCAATCTGCCTGGCCAGCTCATCGTCGATAGGGGCGCCGATGAAGGGCACCATCTCATCGAGGGTGCCGTCGGGCAGCGGGGTCAGAGTCGTCATCCTGGCCTGCCGCGGGTCCCAGACGCGCTGGTGGACAAAGGTGAGCTCGGCCTTGCGGAACTCGCGGGCGTAGGTGGCGGGGACGCGCATCTTTCCCTCGAGGCGGACGGCCTGGAGGACCTTTTCGACGGTCTTGTACCTGCGCAGCAGGCGGTGGGCGTTTTTGAGGCCCATGCCGACAATCGAGGGGAGGTAGTCGCAGCCGCTGAGGATGGCCATCTGGCGGAACTCGACGGGGGTCCATCCGGAGAGGATGACCTGGCGGGTGAGGGCGAAGCGGGAGCGGAGGATCTCGATGCACTGTCCGGCCTGCTCGAGCTTGAAGAGGACCTTTTCGCAGCCAAAGACGAGGAGGTCCGAGTCCTCGGTGATGATGCCGTCGATGATGCCGTGGCGCTCGAGGTAGGCGAGCTGGGCGTCTGCCTCGTAGGGTGCGACGACGTAGGGGATCCCCTCGCGGCGGAGGAGCTTGATGAGCTGGTAGGCCATGGCGGGGGTGATGTCGACGCACTTTGCATAGAGGTCGCGGGCCTCGTGGGCTTTTCCGGCGCGTTCGAGGGAGCGCGCCTTTTCGAGGTTGTCGCGCCTGCGCTGGTCGCGGTCGTCTTCGGTGCCCTGCTTTGCGGGCAGCTTGTCGCCGTCAAAGACGAGGTAGGGTTTGACGCCGTGGTGCTGGAGCATGCGGATGCGGCCGACGGCGTAGGCGATGTAGCGGTCGGTGGGCAGGCCGTTTAGGATGTCGCGTGCGCAGCCGTAGGCGCCGCGGTGGAGCCAGACGTAGGCATCGATGCCGAGCGTCTGGCCGCGGTAGTCTGCTACATGGCGGTGCGACTGGATGTCCTTGAGGAGGGGGAGGAGGCCCGAGATGCCCATCGAGGAGCGGCCGTGCGCGTGGTTGCGGGATCGAGGCGGCGGGGGTTCAGCGGGAGACGAAACAGAGGCCGGGCATTGAGAGAGGTGGTTTGGCGGGTGGGGGAGAGGAACGTCGGACGAGGAGGGGTTGCTGGGCTCAAGGCGAAGGCAGGACGAGGAGGTGAGGGGGAGGGGGGAGGCAAGGGTGTGCTAGCTGCCTGTCCCAACGTGGGCTGCTCTGGCGCCCAGCCCAGCCCGACCGCCCGCCAAAATCTAGAATCTCTGAAGCCAAGCAGCCGGCTTGCTTGCTTGCTTGCTTGCTTGCTCGTCAAGGCCAGGGTGGAGGCAGGCAGGCAAGCAACCAGAAGGACCCTCTGTCCGCTCGCTCGCGACGCGCCGCCCCAACGCGCTGCGGGATGCTGATCGGGACCACAGGTGCAGATCGACATCGGGCTCTCTGGGGGCCGATGGTCCATCGGCTGAGGCTGTCGGGCGGACATTTTGCGGGGACCGCCCTGGCCGCCTCCGCCGCCTCGTCTCATATCGCTCGCTCGCCTGCAGAAGCAACGCCTCCACCACCACCACCACCACCCCCAAGCTTTCCCCCCTCTCCCCCTCGCCGGACTCCCCATTCTCGCTGCGCAGCAGTAACCTCTGCATCCTCTGCCGTCCCTTTTGAACGAGGGCCGCGGATCATCAGACAAGGCCGACACAGCCAGAACAGGGTCAAGGCACATCCCACCCCCCTTTCCTCCACCGTATCCTTCTTCACTCCATCTTCCTCCTCTCCGATCGCACTCCGCTCGCGGGTGCTCAACTGCTGCCAGGATGAAGCTCGTCAGGTAGGCCATTCTGCGTTTCTCTCTTCCCGCGACCTTCCCTCCTCGCTTGCTGCTGCGCTTCGCCTTCTGACCTTGGACATCCGCGCTGACATCCTTCTCTTCCCGACCCGCCGCCGCCGCCGCCGCCGCCACCACCACTCGCCGCCCAGGTTCTTGATGAAGCTCAACAACGAGTCGGTCACCATCGAGCTCAAGAACGGCACCATCGTCCACGGCACCGTCACGGGCGTCGACATCCAGATGAACACCTACCTCAAGACGGTCAAGATGACCGTCAAGGGCCGCGACCCGCTCTCGCTCGACACCCTCTCGATCCGCGGCAACAACATCCGCTACTGGATCCTCCCCGACGCCCTTCCCCTCGACATGCTCCTCGTCGATGACGGGCCCAAGCCAAAGGGCGTGCGCAAGCCAAAGGACGCAGCCGGCCGCGGCGATCGTGGACGAGGCCGTGGTCGTGGACGAGGCGGAGGACGTGGCCGCGGTCGAGGATTCTGATCGCCGTCCCTCCCTGTCCGGGCAAGGCAACCTCGCCACCATTGCAAAAGGGGCAGGCCGAGCTTGGCCCCGCCGCCCTCGCTCCTCGCCCCACAGCAGGCACTCCTGCGCAGGCTGGTCGATCGTACCCCACCCTCCTTGGCTCTCCATCCCTCGGGTCTCGTCTGGTATCGTTTCACTGTACTCTAAGCTTCCTCATCTGCCTCCGAAACCAAGCCAAAGGCGCCGCGACGGTCGTCACAGGCCAGCGTCGCCGGACAACAGAAAAGGGCCTGGACCGCGGCCTGAGACGTAGCATCGCCGTGCGTGAGCGAGCAAGCGGGGCGTCGAGGGTGCTCTGCACTCGGACGCTCTTCTATGCTTGGGCAGTCGCCGCCGCCGCTGCTGCCGCCGCTTTTGCGTCCCTCTCTTCGACCTGGCGCATGAGCTCCTCCTCGCTGACGAGGAGGCGGAGGGCTCTTACGGCCGCCTCTTCCGGTCTGTCGATGGGGAAGTCGATGCGGGTGATCTGGCCTCCGTTGAGCAGGAGGGTGAGGTGCTTGAACACCGAGGTGGACCCTTGCGCCGGTACGGTCGGGATGTCGAGCGCCTGTGTCAGCTGGCGGTGCTCGTCGCTGAGGAGCGGAAAGGGGATGTCGTGTTTTGCAACGTCGTGCAGCTGCTCTGCGTGGGGCTGGGTCGAGAGGCCAAAGATGTGCAGGTCCGGCTCGATGCGCCGCAGCGGTGGCAGGTGCTGGGCGTAGGATGCGAGGAGGGCGGCAGAGGAGGTAGACTGCGGGTAGAGGAAGAGGAGGACGGGCTTGGAGAGCGAGAGGATGAAGAGGTCCACGGTGCCGCCCGCTGTGCTGTCCAGGTCGATGATGGCGGGCAGCGGGTGGCCGAGGAGGTGGAAGGCGGAGCGGTCCTCGGTCTGGGTCATCTTTGGCCGGGTAGGACGAGGGAGGAAGTCGTGGCAGGCAAGCAGGCAGAGATGATGTAGATGAGTAGCGCTCGAGCTGCGGCGTTCGAGGTGTATGCGGCTGCTTGAAGCCAGTGGGCAAGGTGGGAGAGAGGATAGCAAGAGCAGGAGCGGGGGGAGGCTGGGCAGGTCACCAAGCTAAGCCAACAAGCAAGCAGGCTAGACAGGTCGGGGTGCAGGCTGGTCCCTCGGCCGCTTCCGCCTGGGGCTTCTCCACCTCAAGTTGGCCTGCAGCCGCCCGCTTGGCTTCTTCCAGGGCCCGTTAGGCCGGAGCCGACGTTGGAGGCCTGCCCGTGTTGCGGGACTCGGGCATGCAGATGCGGAGCGCGGCGAAGAAATCAAAATCGTGGGGCTCAGGTCGAAACGCAGGGTTGCAGCCCGCCGCCAGCCCGCCTGCCCGCGGCCAGCCGGGATTTTTTTTGGACGGGCGGCGGCGGTGGCTGGTTGGCCTCGCCTCGAACCTCCGCCCTTGCTCGCCCCGCCATCTTCGTCCTGACCCTCGACAGCCACCTTCCTCGATCCACACCCTCCCTCTCTCTCTCCCCCTGACTCCTCACCGCCTCCCTCCATCTCCCGCCAACATGGGCAAAAAATCGGCGCCCAGCACGCCCCTCAAGGCCTCAACGTCCACGACGCCGGCCACGCCCATCACCGACCCAGCGCTGGTGCAGACCTTCCAGATGGTCCACGCCTTCCTCCAGGAGCACGCCCCCGCCGTCGCACCTTCCCTCCTCAGCGCCGCGCCCGTAGAGGCCCAGGCGCCCGCCAACGCCGCAAAGGAGATGGCAAAGCACCTCGTCACCGCCATCCAGAACAGCCCCAAAAAGGAATGGGCATCGCCCTCCACCACCGCATCAAAGGCCAAGGCCGCCCCGGCGCCAGCACCCGATGCAGCATCGCCTTCGTCGTCCGATGAATCGGATGACAGCGGAGACGAGTCCGACAGTGAGAGCAGCGACTCCTCGAGCGACGACGACAGCTCCGACAGCGACAGCTCCGACAGCGACAGCTCCGACGACGACGACGACAACGACGACGACAAGGAGAAGCCAAAGGCCGAAAAGATGGACGAGGACTCGAGCAGCAGCGACGACTCGTCCGACTCTGACGACAGCTCATCGTCCTCTTCGTCGTCCTCTTCGTCGTCCTCGTCGTCGTCCTCGTCTGACAGCGACTCGGACTCGGACTCGAGCTCCAGCTCCGATTCGGACGCCAACGACGCAAAGGAAGTCGAGGCCGCCTCGATCACCGCCGCCGTCGCACCCGCTTCCCACCACTCTTCCGAGACCTCCGAGACGGTCAAGAACGACGACAGCGAGAGCGACTCGTCGTCGTCGTCGGATGAGGAAGAGAAGAAGGAGACCAAGAAGGCGGCACCAGCTGCTCCCGCCCCCAACTCCAAGAAGAGGAAGGCAGCATCCCCATCCTCGTCGTCGTCGTCCGAGTCCGACAGCGACTCTTCCTCTGACAGCGACAGCGACAGCAGCAGCAGCAGCAGCAGCAGCAGTGACAGCGACAGCGACAGCAGCGACAGTGACAGCAGCGACAGCAGCAGCGGCAGCAGCTCGTCTTCGGACTCGGACTCGGACTCGGACTCGGATTCGGACTCGAGCAGCAGCTCTGCCTCGTCGGCCGACAAGGCGACGACGCCACCCAACGTCGACCCGGACGCGCACAAGTCCAAGAAGCTCAAGACCGCCGCCGGTGCCGCCGCGGCGCCCGTCGTGGCCGAGTGGCAGCCCAACCCGCTGTACGCCACGCCACCTGCCGGGTCGGGCAAGAAGAATGGCGGCGGCGGCAGCGGCGGAGCGGCTCGGGGTGGCGCGCAGAACACGCCGTTCCAGCGCGTCAAGGCGGACCAGGTGACGTACCTCGATGACCGGATGAAGGACATGTCGTACGACGCCAAGCCGGGCGCCGGCGACTGGGGCGCAAAGGCCAGCGCCGACCTCATCGTGACGCGCGGCAAGGGCTTCACCAAGGAGAAGAACAAGAAGAAGCGCGGAAGCTACCGCGGCGGCGAGATTGATACCTATGGCACGCAGTGAGTCCCGTCCCGTCCCGTCCGGTCCGGTTCGGTTGGGCATGCCCTCTGCTCCCTGTTCCCGGCCCCTGGCTCCAGAGTGGGCGCCGGAGGGGCAGAGGCGTCAAGACTGCGAGAGTGCCGTCGCTGACCCACTCGACTGCTCCACCCATCATCTGCCCTCGCGTTCCACAGCTCGATCAAGTTCAGCTACGACGACGAGTGAACTCGGTCGACCGGAGCCAGATCGGCTTGCCTCGCTTCGCCAGATACCGTCCGACGCTCCACCACCTGGCTGGGTCCGACTCCGCTTGTCGAGGGACCCGACTCCGGACGTTGATGCAACATCGTGCCTTTCCAGTCCCCCGCTGCCACTGCTGTCTTCTGCTTGCCGCTCGTCGCTCGTCGCTTGTCGCTTGTCGCCCGCGCCTCGATCGATCCGTCTCTGTCTGCACCTGCACCTGCGGCTGTGACGGGTTCAGAGCTTACCGAGACGGGTGGCGCCATCGAGGCGGATGTAGGAGCCGTTGAGCATGGGGTTCTCGATGACCATCTTGACGGCGTGGGCGAACTCGTCTGGCTCGCCAAAGCGGACGGGGAACTCGGCCGACTTGAGAATCTGCGCCTTGGCTGTGTGGTGCGGCGTTCGCAGATCATCGAGGCGGGAGTTAGAGATTGTGGAAGGTCAATGTGGGTTTGAGAAACGGTCAGCGTGGGAGGGATGTAGCGGGCTGCATCGAGGAGGCTCACCTCGGTCCGGCAGCTGCTGCATCATGGGCGTCGAGAAGAGGGCCGGTGTCAAGGTCATGCTCCTGATTCCAAACCACGCCAGATCCCTGCAGCGCCGTCGTCGTCACAGTCGCCATCGAAGAGTCGACGAGAAGAGAAAATGGATCAGCCGAACTAGTCCCCGAAGCAGCAGCAGCAGCACTCGCGCCGGATGGGGCAGACGCACCGGGAGAGGGGCAGGGTCATGGAGAGGACGCCGCCCTTGCTGGCGGCATAGGCGGCCTGGCCGCTCTGTCCCTCGAGGGCGGCGGCGCTGGCCGTGTTGATGATGACGCCGAGCTCCTTTGTGGATGCGGTGGGCTTGGGGATGGGCTTGGCGAGGTCGCGCACCAGCCGCGCCGCGACGAGGCGAGTGACGTTGAACGTGCCGATCAGGTTGATGTCGACCACCTTGCGGAAGGTCTCCAGGTCCTGCGTGGACGTAGAGAGGGGGTCGAGGGCGAAGAAAGGCAGAGGGGAGATGCGGTCTGTTAGATGGGCAACGCCATCGACATCGACGAGGACACGGAGCGGGGCTATGAGGAGCGGGGCTATGGGGACCGATCTGCCACTCACAAAGGGCTCGCCCTCGGCGTTGATCACCTTGCCGGCCATACCGACACCGCCGCAGTTGACGACGCCGCCGACAGGAACGTCGGTCCAGAGGCGATCGCAGCCGGCGAGGGCGGCGACGACGTCTTCCTCGGAGCACACGTCGACGCGGAAAGCGGCGGCGCGCGGTGCGTTGCCCTGGCCGGTGGTCGACGAGTTTCCGGGAAGCGCCGAGGCGGTGGTGGCATTGAGCTGGGCTGCGAGCTTTTCGGCGCGGTCGAGGTCGAGGTCGAGGATGCCGACGTAGGCGCCGAGCGAGTGGAGCAGCTCGACCGTCGCTGCTCCCAGGCCGGATGCGCCGCCCGTGACGTAGTAGACGTGGTTGCAGATCTGCATGGTGGAATGTGGGAGAGCGGCTGAGCGTATTAGGCGCGGGTCCTTGGGGTGGTTTGCAAGGGAAGGGGGTGGGCAGCTGGGGAGGTGGTGGGCAGCTGGGGAGGTCATGGCGAGAAGGAAGTGCCTGCCGCCCACACCCTGGCCTGCCTGGGCCCGCGGACCGCTTCAAGAGGGGACCGGGCGCCCGGCCCAGAAATTCCAGCCGACCCGGACGAGCACCAAGCCAGCCCAGGGCCAGTCCAGCCGCTCCACACGCGCCAGGCCCAAAAAGCCAAAGCGGAGCGCGTGGAAGAGAGTCGAGCAGCAGCAGCAGCAGGCTTCCCATCCCGGCCGGCTCACCGTCCGACCGCCCGCCCTGCCAGAGTCGCCACGCATTTGCGCCGCTGCCGTCCAGGCGTCGACTCGTCCCAGGGTGCCGCGCGACCGTCGAAATGCGAAAGGAGAAGGATGTTGGATTCGGGCATCGCTGAACAAGACGCCCCGAAAAGCGACAAAGGATAGTGTTCTAGCGACGTCAGCTCGTCGTCGCCGAGCCGTGTCAGCAACGAGACGGGAGGGCCATGGCGTGCCCAGGCATGTGACGAAAGAGACAGCTCAACAGGGTGGGGAACAGTAGGAATTCGGGTCGATCATCTGAGGTATGGAAGCCGGCAGTTAGGCGCACGGTGGTTGCTGCGCCGCCGACAGGCTACCTGGGCGAGGAGGTTTTCATCCAAACCGACCGCAGGCCTCGAGGCCAGACCAGAGAAGTCGCAGTCGAGGCGAACGCGAGCACCGATGGCGGGATGTCGAGGAGCAAAGTCGTTGGCGGCAGGTGATGCATACATCACCATCGAGGGAAGCCGAGGCGAGCCAGCAGGCTCACTTCCAGCCGAAGGGGATGGCCCTCTTCTTCTTCGAAGGCATCTTGATCGCGTCGCCCTGCTTGTAGGGGCTCGCAGTGCCCGGCTGGTTTTGGCCGCCACCAGCGCCACCGCCGGCGTCACCGCCAGACCCGCTGCCGGAGTTGCCGCCAGCGCCGCCGCCGACCGAGCCGGAGCTGTAGGGGCTCGTCTTGCCGGGCTGGTCCTGACCGCCACCAGATCCACCGCCAGCATCGCCGCCAGATCCACCGCCGGCATCACCGCCAG